TTTTAATTAAGCTGTATTTCCTGTAAAGTTTCTCCTTGCCAGTTCCATGAAAGGAGTGGACGTCATGTTGTGAAAATGAGCACAGAACTGCTGCTGTAACGGGCTTTTTGACAACGGATGTCTTTGCTTTAATTTGAAGTACCCGTAAATTACCTGAGAGCGCCCAAGTGGTTTTACGCATGCTTCTTAATCCGTACACATTGCACAGTTTTGTATTATGCTTAACACATAAACACTGAATTAAGGGGCACGCAAGAATACAGTACATTTCATGTCCAGACAGTACAAGGTAACATGAAATCCAAACAGTCCTGAATGGTACAATTCTGACCACATTCATCACCCATATAAAATCCATTTAATTAGTTAGAAAATCTTATTCTCTCTTTTATTTTTTCATACAAATGTTAATACCTATATGTGAAAATATAAATGTCGGCAGCTATTTTGACACCATAGCATGTGATACAGCATAAGAAGTGTTACATTTTTCATTTGAAACCACCTGTGTTTGAAGGACTACATCAAGTAAATTGTAAGGGAATCTAGAGAAGTGCTAATGGGGGGGTGGGGCGTTGCTTCGCATGAAAGAAAAATATTAAAGTAACAGTCGTCAGGGTTATCTGCAGAGGTAATGCCTATCCTTTTATTTTTTTCTTTATTTTGCATATTAGGGCAGAGCAGATATCTGGTATTGTTAACATGTAAAGACATCAAAGTATCTTCTGTGCAGGTGTTTTTGTTGGATCAGCCGAAGAACTTAGAACAGAAGCCAATTCATGGAGTGACTTGGGGTTTGCACATTTTGTATGAGAAACGACAGGCTGATACTCAGAGGGAAGGCCCTTTCATTAAAAGTGGTGTTGAGTTTCAACCTGTCATTTTTCCATGGAGTCATTAGATTCGGGAGGTATATCGCAGTTCTCTACAGTCGTGGGGGTTTAATTCAACGTTCTTGTAAACAACTAGAATCCAACCATGCTTTGCAGGTGTTGAGGTTAGAAGTCAAAATGAATTATTTTGTCAGAAATTCTATCCTGTTTGTTAGTCAATGTATCATCTTTAGAATAAGTATAATGACCCTTTCTAATGAATCCAAGGGGGTGGGAATGGGTCAGGAACCATGGCAGTACGTGGGAATTCAGCATGCTCCTTCTGATTAATAAGCTTTTAATAGGCTGTTTTGCACACGAAGGATCTTGTTTTGCAATGCCTAAACATCATCTGCTTACCGTTTGGTTGTGAAGTAGCTGTATTTGAGGCCATCTACCTGTGTTTTTTAAAATGTCATCTGTATTAGTATTACATTCAAGGGACAGTACCAAGAAACAGTTTCTTTCAAGACCTTCTACCAGTATGCGGCATATAAGTCTGTGACAAGTGACATTACAGAAGGTCATGTCACTTTTAACTGCTTGCATTAGATCTTTCTGATTTCCCCAGTGCCCTTCCTTTGTTTGATTAATACTACTTGATTTCAAGCAAGGTATCGGAAGGCATAATTTAGAGTGAGTATTCTAGGGGCAATCTAAGATTTTTGCCATATAACTTTTAATAACATAACTCTAATGTTTCATTTTATCTTCATACGGTTTTTCCTGTCCTCCTTCTCTCTCCTCTACCTCCTTCCCTGTCTCCTCCTTCCCCCTATCATACCTCCCCCAGGTACAGTGCTCCGAATAACTACTGTGTTCCCTCAAACCAAAGCTGCACATGTGCACTTTATTTGAATAACAACGAGGCAGAATCATAGGAGAAAAAATTCCATTGTGCGGTTTTTTTTCTACATTATTCTTACTGCAATGTTAAAGGGAAATCTGTTGCTCAGATTCGCTGTACCTCTCTGGAACAGCCTTGCTTTGTTCTGCAGAAATAGATTGTACTTCAGTATATGGCTTTTGGAAGGCTTCAGAGTACCTATTCTTCGTATATATCCTAAGATGATGAAGAATCTACTTTCCTTGTTTTAATTTGTGTCAGAAGTTCTGGAAACACTTATTTTAGTTGTTTAATAAATTGTACTTTTGTGTCTGTATTGTCTGAATATTCATGTATTGGTTTTTGTGAGTTTTTTTTTTAACTCTTCCTTTTGGATTTCAAGATAAGTGAAAGCATGCACTAAGTTTCATATACTTTAAAGAATCATTTATGCATCTTGGACAGAGGAACACTTCTACTACATTTTATTTTGGTACAATAATTGAATTCTGTTTTCCTTTACAGACAATTCAGTACTCTGAAGCTTGATGTTATTGATGATATGACTAACCTAGAACAAAGCATAGACTGCTAGTGGCTTTTGACTCAAAAAAATGGAATGGAGGAGCCAGAAATTTGGGCACATTCCTGGTTTTCAAGCAATATTAGAGGGCTTTTTATGTCCTTTGAACAAGTTAACGTCTTGCCACTCTACAGAAGCTTGTAAAGTAGTTTGAGATCATGAGATGGGGAAGGGGGGGGG